ATTCCATTCTGTTCTATTCTATTCCATTCTGTTCTATTCCATTCCATTCTGTTCTATTCTATTCCATTCTGTTCTATTACTATCAAACAGGTAAAAAACCATGTTACATACACGATAAAGTGTATCTTTTTTTAGAAACTAATTGAAATATTTACGAAAATAATATTGATTTTTTTTTAATGTGTTCATTTTCAACGATATAATAAATATAAAGCAACTGCTTAATGTGATAGTCTTTAATCACTCAATAAAATTTGATTATAATGCTGTATTCAGGAACAATAAGATTTCATTCATTTACTTCAGTTTTATAAGTTATTGCTTTGGGTCGTTAATCTGAAGTGAATCGAAGAGGCCAACAAGAAGAATAGAAGTGTGATATTGGTGGTGCTACAGATGGTGCATAGCATTAATAGTATGTAAAAATGTGGAGAGAATTATAATACTGGTAATGAAAAATTAGTGAACTCAAGAAAGCTATACCAAAAAGGTTAAAAATTAAACTTTTAAATCAAAGTAGCTTTTGGTAAACCATTTAATATAAAAACAGCAAAACAAGACTCAAGACTCAGCACATGCACTTATTGCATCACATATACTGGTAATTCTTTCCATTTATAGGTTCTGTAACAGTACATACTGCAACAAAAGGAATCAGCAGTCATAGAGTAGAAAAATGCAAGTATGATTTAGCACATGGTACCAAAGCATTGTTTATATTCTATAGAGAAAATGAACTACATGACCCAGCTTATCAGATGTCTAACCAATTTCAAACAACACATTCAACTGTGCTTCCATGACAACACATTCAACTGTGTTTCCATGACAAATTTCCATAGGCACTTATCCTTGAGAAGTCGGCGCTCCTGGCAATATTTAACTTCATGGAAATACTTAGATTGACAGCGACCAAAATAAACCTATAATTTCTACAAACAAGATCCCGTATATGTTATTGAAGGCCAAGCTGAAGAACACTAAAAAATCTATGATTCATATACAGAAAGTCAATCACAAGAAAAAATATAATGAAGAATATATGAGCTAGAATACAAGTCTGTGCTACTCAGATTTCACTTAAGCTTTTTCTCTATTATTACTGAAGGGTAATATTTTAAATTAAATATGCTTTGTATTAAAAAGTCAGAAAGTATGCATTAAGGAAAACAATTAAAAAACACCTGCAGAGTTACATTACCACATAATCTATTTTACAGAGTTTGGCATACAATACAGAGTAACAATTAACATACTTATGAAATAATATATAAGACTGCTGCATTTATGCAATAGTTCTTAAAAGACAATTCAGGTGCTCTTAATGCATAATTATGGAAATCCAAACTTACTTTCATTTATTGCTGTGGACTATATTTCAAATAGTCTTTGTGGGGAGAAATTTAATAGATAAAGAAAAATCTGAAAGTAAAGATTCTCTTTCCTGTGTGCAATGAAATGCCACACGAGTCACTTAGTAATGAATATGAAACTGCAAAATAAAGGTGTACGGAAAACTTAACAATGTTTACAAATCCACTAAACAATAAAGGTCTTCATAAGATAAGGATTAATACAAGCTCTCTCTTATTAAGAAAATAAAGAGCTTAATTACAGTCCCTATAACTCTATCCCTATGCTTTAGACGAGCATTATGAGGATGTAAAAGAACAAAAGTTAAAAATTAATAAAGCTAACAGATTTTTACATAAAACTTTAAAAACTTTGTCAGAGAATATTATTCTTAATTATCAGCATCATTTGATTCTTTTAAATACAAATCAATAGTTTGTGTTTGTTTTGTGTTTGGTGTGTTTTGGTATGCATTGTTGATATTCATTCACAGAGCTAGAATGATACAGTAGAATAACCTTTTTAGCTACAAAATGCAAAAACAGATGAAAAATAGCATCCCATTCATTTAATTGATTTTTTTAAGAAATTCATAATTTTAAACCAAAGATTTCTGGTCAAGGAATGAAACTTTGTAAAGGATTTAGTAATTTTGAAAAAAAATTAGTTTGGAAAACGAAAACGCGTTTTAAAGCTATAAAAGCCTAGAGCAGAGAAATGACTTTGTGTCATTTATGAGCTCGGGCAGCTAATAATCCAATGAATGGGCCAATCTTCCACAAATTTAAACAAAATAACGTTCTACAGTCCTCAGTGTCAGATAAGCTTATATATTCTTTCGGGCATTAATTAATAAATTATTAAATTTTAATTAGCGGAGAAAATGCTTTTTTCCACATAACATATGACACTTGAAATGTTTGAAACGTGAATGGGAAACTGCAAAGCGAGGAGTTCAATTTTCACAATTCTTAATATTGCAAAACGTGAAAATATCTGTAACTGCATCATGTTTTAGATTATACACCAGAGAGAAGGCCAGAAGTAAGATTGTACGGACATTCATACTTAAAATTATTCATAAATTTTGGAAGAAAAACATTTAGGCCGTTAAAATGAATATTGAAAACAGCAATACAACTAATTCAATTAAGACTGCTGGTAATATTCGTACTTTTACTAGAAAGACTTACGATTTTTTTTCTTTCATGTCCAAAATGATTTCTTTTTCACTAATAACTTTTGCTTCTGGGGCATCTGGTTTTGTTGTCTCGAAGGAGGATTGTTTTGAGTTGAATAAGCTGAAAGAATATGTTCAAAATCATTCATAAAACGAGCATTGAGGATACGCATTTGAAAACTGAAATAACAGTTTCTGGGGTATTCTTAACAGATATTTTATCGATCCAAAGGATTATTGTAGGTAAAAGTGACAGACTGTAGTTATGAATATTATAAAAACGACAACAAACAGAGACGACTCACCTGAAGACCTCATCTGCATCTTGCGAACAACTATCTTCACTAACTGGCTCAAGAAAATCCGTAGTTGACTGAGCCATTGTGAATTATGTACGAGCTTCCCAAGATCAATATAAAACTAAAGAGCAATCTAACCAAACCTGAAGAAAAAGCTTGACTAGAATACTTCACGACTTAACCAATGTATACGAAACAGCTGCCTATAAAAACAGTCATAATCTGCAGTTTTGAAGCCCCATGCTTAGCCCTTCGTAGTTTCTCCATTTTGGCTTCACGGCTTTTCCTCCTCACATAGCTATAATATGGTTCTCAGCTTTAAATGATCAACAGTTATGCTAAAGGAAAGAGAACAACAAGATCGGAGCGTTGACGAGCAAGACTTCGTACAGTATTTCGATGGCCAGCAGCTTGAGCATCACATCCCAAATAATCGCGCCAACAATTCACCCCGAATCCACWATAAAACCTTTCAAAATTTTACGATTTGTAAAAATCAACGTCCTGGCCAATAGCCCCTGAATTCCTCAAGTTTCTTCAGGCTTCATCGAAGAGCATAAAATAAATAATGAAGACTGAAGATGCACAGCTTGATTCAAGTCAGGATTGTTTCTAAGATTCACGTTTACTCGGTTTACATTCGATTGATCGTTCTACGCATGTTATTAATAACACGATTACTTCCGGTTGTATTTTCGACCAATCAAAGACGAGTAATCAAATGTAAGTCAAATGTAAGTCAAATGCTAGGGTTTTTTTCTTTTTTCCTTTTTTTTTCTTTTTTCCTTTTTTTTTTTTTTTTGTCTCTTCTTCTTTGTTTTCCGTTTCTAATTACTCCTCATGAAGGTCGCTTGTTTTAGAAAGAAGCGTAAATAATGAAATTACTCAAGAGGCATTTATGTATACTTTCTTTCTTTGTTTCTTCCTTCCTATCTTTATATCTTTCGCTCTTTTGTCGATATCTTTTGTTATTTTTCTTTTTTCTTTTTGTCCTAGTTTAAGGAAACAAAGTTCAATAATCAGACCAGGTCAAGGTAAACAAGGGTAGCTCTGTCTTAATTCAGAGGCTCTATCAGCAAAGTGATGAAAACTGAACTCGGTCAATCAATTAGATAGGTGAACTGACCCTAATCTCCTGCTTGTCTTCAAGTAAAATCCGTATAATCCTTTCATTCATGCCACGTATCATAGGTCAAATGTTATTCAAACGAAAAAGAAGAAAGCAAAAGTTCCAGTTTAGAGAGTGAAAGAATAATCATAAAATATATCTTAAAAGAGACAAATGAGAGACACACAGACGAAATTATGATATTTAATATAATAATGATGAAAATTGTTGAGAATGACGACATGAGGGCGTCGAAACCGTCCAATTTAATACTTTTTTCTATCGTTTTTCTTTTAAAAAGCGTTTTTCAAAACCACTACTTATTATTACGAACCATTGTATCTAAAGATGAATTTCTAATTCTGCTGAAAAGTGAAAGAGACAATGAACAAAAGAAACACGTAAAACCCTTATAATATGTGTCATCTCCCGGGGGCGTAACCAGGGATCTTGTAGGGGAGGTGCACAGCCAATGATTTACAGAACCAAAATAAAAAAAAGGTAACCAAGAATAATAGCAGAACCAAAAAAAAATAAAAARATGAAAAAAGGAATGATGGGTGGGTGGTTCTTTAAAATGCTACAATACGCAGATGGAAAGTGGTCTTCATTTAATCAAAAAACATTTACATGCAATTTTAAAGCAAAAGGAGATAGATGAGCGGACCAAAAGCTTTTATGGGGGGGAGGGGTGCACGTGCACCCTGTGCTCCCCCCTGGTTACGGTCCTGTCTCCTTTTATATCGCTGTCACGACTGAAAAAGAGGACTCGTTCCCACGCCTCCCTCGCACGTGACTAGATTTCTAACACTTTTGAATCCATAAAAACAGACTCAGACTGAAATTGCTCTGAAAAAAAAAACTAATTGAAAAAGAGTGAGTTTGCCTTTCTTCTTAGAATAGCTATTTATACTTAATTTTTAATTTACTCCAAGATATATACTGCCTTCGTTATCGCGTTTGCGTGGAAAATTGAAGAATCTCTGATTTCCTGCTGAAAACAAATTCGTAATCCTTAGTAGTATGATCTTCTTTTTACTTAATTAAAACCGCGGCAGGCTTTCTATAAAGTATTTTTCTCATAATGTATTTATGTGAGTAATGAAGCCTTCACAAACATTTAAAAAATGGTTAGGTGTTTTTTCTCAATATTTTGATTGATTCTCGACTTTAAGCCCAGTAAGTTATAGTCATATTTCAAGGAGTTTAAGCTAAAACCAAAGCAATGGGCCTTTTTCACGCGGCAGCCATGTTGGTTGGAACAATAGATTCTACCACGCGTAGCCTCGCATACAAGAGTTTGAGAATGAGTTTCACGGGTGAAACAAAGGTTTTTATTCTCATGAGGATAAACATGGCTGCCGTGTGATAAAGGTCCATATAACGGCCTCATGATTGTTATTGTTCTAGTCGTTACCGAGTAACCAAGCCTTCGAAACATCAAATAAAATCCCCACCCACCCCTCCGTTCACCCCTCACCCTTCCCCCGTTCGTTATAACGAAATTTAAACGTATTCAATTCACATATCCTAGTTCCATATGACAAAAGACACAAAGAGAAATGATGTATGATACACCTTATACGAAAAAGAAATGCAAAGGAAACGAAAGAAAGTTTTGGACAATATTACCACAGGAAGCCCAGTAATAAATTAACGTTTCAGTTGCGATAGTGCAGCGAGCGTTCGTCTTACACACACTTACACACGAAGCCCAGTAATAAATTAACGTTTCAGTTGCGATAGTGCAGCGAGCGTTCGTATCCTCTATAAGATTAGAACGTAACTCTCAGATGAGTTAGTTACATGATTACAATAAATGCGTGTATTTATAGAAACTTTTACTTTGTTTTCCATTTCAGAGCATATGCCACTTACTTGAGTATTATATCTTTCTTTTCTAACATTGCTTGATACCG